AGGATTGAAAAAATATGAAGAGTACTTAATAAATTTTTACCTAATTCATATTTTATCTAGTAATTTAATTAGTTTCATTTCGTTAAAAATGAGTTAGGTTATTTTTTTCATAAAAAAAAACTAAGAAAATAATTGCAATATTTCAAAAAATAAGCTAGCTTTGTTATTTTGATAAAGAAAAATATGTTAAAAAGCCGTTCTTGTAATTAATATAAGCGTAATTAATATTATTTTTCTGAAGAATCAGTTTTAAAAGATATATTTTTATAAGATAAATAGAAAAATATACTTTTATAAATTAACCAGAAAGATCTAATAAGATAAGTTAATATAAAATCGGATATAACAAATATTTCGGACATTCACCAAAGCGACTATGTGATTGTTGACATTCACCGGTGAAAGTCGACATTCTCATTTATAGTTAAAAAGGTCATTTTTCTTAGATATATGTTACCATGAATAGCCTAAATCAAGAGAATGTCGACTTTCACCGGTGAATGTCAACAATCACTTAGTCGCTTTGGTGAATGTCCGAAATATTTGTTATATCCGATTTTATATTAATTTATNAGCCGCTTAACTATTTGTAACTTCAAAGAAACAAACAGTGGATAATAAAATCAATATAGTTCAAAAGTTCCGCCCATAGGTGAGCGGTAAATTTCAAAAGAGCTAGAGAAAAAAAGGATTTATATAAATGGGATAGCATAAAGAATACGAAGTAGTTTAAGCTTTAATATTTTTTTTCCTGCGCGTGTCTTAGAACGGAGGATTTAAAAATTATGAAGAGTACTTAATTAATTTTTACATAATTCATATTTTATCTAGTAATTTAATTAGTATCATTTCGTTAAAAATGAGTTATGTTAATTTTTTCATAAAAAAAAAACTAAGAAAATAATTGCGATATTTCAAAAAATAAGCTAGCTTTGTTACTTTGATAAAGAAAAATATGTTAAAAAAAAAAAAATTATATATATATATATAGTTAAAAGCGTCGTTTTATTTTAGATATATGTTACCATGAATAGCCTAAATCAAGAGAATGTCGACTTTCACCGGTGAATGTCCGAAATATTTGTTATATCCGATTTGATATTAATTTATTCGTTGATATTATTATATTTATTCGATATTTTAATATCTGCGGATGATAGATTAGGAGAAACATCAGTGTTCGGAGTACCGGTTAAATGCACACTGGGCAGTGGTACTAAACCTTAAAAAAACATTGATGTAGGGCATACCGGGCAGTGGCACTTAACTAGACCTAGTATATGTTTTGAACATTTACCAAAGCGACTATGTGATTGTCAACATTTATTGGTGGAAGTCAACAACCACCAATTTCAGTCATACACAGTAACATATACAAGGGATAGTTCGATTGAAATGTGAAAATTTTAGTCATTAAAATGCACTCTAAATTACTGGGAGGTCATTTTCAAACATTAGTACCTCTGTACTCGATCTATAACCTATTTAAATGATTTTTAATTTTTTTTACATTTTAACTTATAACTTACTGCAAATAGACGGACAAAAAATCTTTGTTTTTATTCTCACGACCTAGTGTATATTATATGCGTGAAAAATATCTAAATGCATTGTATATTTTCATGCTGTCTCTTTCGAAGAAGTAAATATAAAATAAATATTTATTTTTATTTAAAACGATTTTTTATCTTGATCAAAATTAATTATGAATTAATTAATTTTAATTATTACGATTAGCTCTTTTGAGTTGTCCGATTATGTTTTGCTTTCTTTCATTTGTCATTCAATTCGTTTATTTGTGAGCATTATTTAATTACTTTAAAGGACAATTTTCCTTTTTTAAAATAATTCTATTTTAGTTTTTTGTCAAAAAAATTTTGAATGTTGTGCGGCAATCGGGTGATCCGGGTGAGGGGGTCGCGAGTATTTTCTAAAACAACCGGATCCTCTGGATGACTGGATGTAGGAGTGTTCCAGAGTATCCGGATGTTTGCTTCTTTCAAGAAAAAGGATGCTATTTCGAATGACGTCTTCCCCTTATTAATTCATTAAAATTGTTCCTTGATGTCACGTGATTATATTCATTAAATCTGTGCATTTGAAATTGTTGAAGGGAAAAAAATGACATTATTGTAAATTATGAGAAGAACAAGATTAGCAAAAAAAAAGTTTACTTTTTTTTTTTTCGTTTAACAGGAAAGCAATTTTCAGGGCTATTTTGTAGATAAAACTTATGCTTTATATTTGGTAATCAGAAAGTAAGTTTATGGGGATCTGAAAACCAAAATTAAGAAATCTGAAAGCTAGAAGGTTTCTTAAAATAAAGTATAATAATTTTTTCCATCTTTAAAAACTGAAAATATTTCAATACCACAGTCCTACAACAATTCAAATATAAATTAATTATAAAAAAAAAAAATATACGCCGAACAAATATTATAATAATTTGTTTTTTTATTTTTTCAAACCTAAATGATATTATGCTTTTGGAAAAATCAGTTTATCGTTGAATCATGATAACAAAACCGAAATACAGAGTAAGGAAGAATATTTCAGTTTGGTACTTTTCTACGATTGGTACGATCAATATATTTCTTCAGATTTAGTTATGGATACTAAGCTTATCAATCATAATTAATTAGATTAGATCAATATGTAGGCTATTGACTAAAGAAATTTATTGTTAAAATATTGGGTTTGATGTTAAACTATAATATCGTCACTTTGAAACCTAAATATCACGAGAATTAGCTGCAACCTTAACAAAGAGCATGTTAGATTTTATCTCAAATTGAGTCAGGGTATCGGGAAATCAAGTTTAAGAAAGAGAAGAATTAAGAATTTTTGAAATTCAGTTATGAGTACTAAACTCTTCAATCATAATAAATCATTTTATATCAATAAATAGGCTTATGATTGTCAAAATATCGGGTTTGACGCTGAACCACAATATCGTTTTAATTTAATCCTAAATATCGTGAGAATTTTCTGCAACCTACACAAAAAATATGTTAAGTTTCCGTTCAAACTAAATCAAGCTTAATAAAGATTAGTGAGCAGAACCTAATGTTTCAATTTAGTACCTCATATATGTTATGAATATGTTCCAATTTATAACCTCAATAGGGTTGCATTGAATACACACGATTTTATGGAAAATGTTAAAACATTTTTAACAATGTGAAATTGAAATGAACAAAATTAAAGGCGATGATTGTAAAATCGTTAGGTAAAATATTTGAATTATGCAGTTTGATGGGCATGAAACATTTGTGCTCATGTAATTGTAATAATAAAAAATAATAAAATTGTGATGCTCCTCCCCCGCGTCCTCCGGGATCGTGGCCCGACCTTAAAGGGTGCAAGGACGTGTCCTTCCAAGAGAGGAAGGTGCGCCAACCGGCCTACCATAAGGGTGCGTCCACTATTAAATGTTGATAGTGATGAAAGAGTTGCTTTGTGCTCGAATAGTCGAAATATTTAGAAAATTTCATAAACAATGAAAGCAGGAGTATGATTACCTTCTAGAATTTTTTAAAAAAACTATTTTTTTGCTTGCTTTGAATTGAAAAGATGTTGCTTCAAATTGTTTAAGAGCATATTACAAGACAAATGAGAGAATGGGTTGTGGTTGATTTTATTTATGTTAATAGTATTTAAAGCTTTAGATAAAGGCATATATTAGTCTCAACAAGGAAATTTAAATTTTAAAATCTAATTTTTCTTTCATAAATAATCTAGTCTCGAAATATAACTAATCAAAGCATTAAGAAAGAAATTAATAATTTATTTTTTAGTGATCAAGTTCGAAAATGCTTAAAACGGTATTAAAAATATTTTAACTTAAATGCTATTAATTGTTTTTTTTTTTTTAGAATTGAGGTTAATTAAAAATTGTGACGCAAGTATTTTACAATTTAAAGAAATATGAATTGCCTTTAAATAATATATTATTTAAATTTAAATTGGACGATTAACTTTAAGTTTTATAAGTTATGTTAACATATTAATTAAACATTCTATTCAATATGTGTTTATAAGTACAATATTTCTTTAATTTATTTTTGAAAAATAACTTAAAAATAAAAATTTAAAATAATTTTTTTATATTAAATATCATTAGATTTTTTTTTTTTTTTTTTTAAATAAGATTTCCATGATTTTTACNTATTTCTTTAATTTATTTTTGAAAAATAACTTATAAATTAAAATTTAAAATAATTTTTTTATATTAAATATCATTAGATTTTTTTTTTTTTTTTAAATAAGATGCTTTATGCTATTTTATCTGTACCCAAATATTATACCATCCTCGAAGGAATCAATCAAATAAATTTTGAGAAATCATAGTTTTTTTTTAAAGTTTAGGTTTTAAACTTAAAGTTAAGTTTTAAGTTAAGTTTAAGAAAAGTTTAAATTAGAGTTATAGTTTTAGAAGTTTTTATTCAATGAAATAAAAATTTGCGTTTCTCATTATTTTACCATTTAAACAATTATTGTAGGGATAACAATAATAAACTTTCGTCGAATTTTTTTTAATAAAAATAATTATAAAAAAATAAATCTTCAATAAAAATAATTCTTCAATTCAAAAGCTTAATAACAATTATATAATAAAATAAAAATGCATTGTTGACTTTTTCACCATTTAAATCCAAGGTTATGGATACTGTTAAAGGAAACTGTTTTAGATTCCTAAAAGAAATTTAAATCTGTTATATTGTTAAAAAAAAAAAAAAAAAANTTGAGATATTTGAAACCTAAATCGTTAATTTAAATAGTTGATTAAATTTCTCTGAGACGATTATATAACACGAGTAAAAGAATATTCCAGAAAAGACAATTATCAGAAAAATGCATTCTTGAATTTTCTTTTGGATTCATCATTTAAATTTAGGATTAAGGATCGTATTTGATTCTAAATCCTAAATTTAAATGGTCAATAAAATGAGGCTTTAAGACGAGGAAGAGATTATAGCGTGACCTTCCCAAGATCGATTCTGCCAGACTGCCTGGTGCCAGTAAAAACGTAAATCATTCCTGCGACAGTCCCCACCCCCACTTTAAAGCGTGAAATCTTTGTCAAAAGGGGGGTCCGCGCATTCACATGTGTTAAACAAAAAAGATCAGTACCATTCACCGGCATTCCCTGGCCTCTATGGTTTATTTACGGGAAAGTTGAGAACAAACAAAGGCACGTTTTACTTTTCAAATGCACCTGAACATCTTCTCATTCCCAAGAACATTCCTTTTTTTCCCTTTCCCTCGCTTTTTGCACGTGGAACACCTGAGGAAGTGTGACTAAAGCACCTGATCCGACACAGAATATCCCAAACGATTTCCCCAAAGTTTGTTTTAATTGTTACTAAATTTGTTGATTAAACAGTGAACAAATACAATGCGTTGTTTAAAATTCATGTTTCTTTGATACATTGTTTATATTTGTCGATGGTCGATTGAAAAGATACACCTCTAAGAACGATCCGGAAAAAAGGCTTCAGTGAAAGAATTTCCGGTAAAAAAGGAAACCCTAGAAGGTACCAGGATTATGTTTCAATAACTTCTTCGGTTAATTATTTAAATAACTTTTTTGATTAAGCAACATTTGAAACATTTATGACATATTTCAAGAGTTATGATTCTGATTGGCTAATTGATTGGAGCGGGAAACTTTTCCTTTCATTTTTCTCTCCAGCATTTTAAATGTCATCTGCGAAATGTTTTTTGATTTAAAATATCTTTTTGAAGAAGGGATTAAGATTTCATTTCCTTTTACAATGAGAAAAAAAAAAATATGTTTTTAATTATTATTATTATTTACCAGAAATATCATTACAGTGCGGTAATTTTACCATAAATTTTTCTCCATGTAAATTATTTTTTATGAAACATATGTCAGAATGTTCTTGTTGCTAAAAACTATTTTAATTAAGTCATTTTAGTTAGTAACGTTTTTAAGGTATACATTTTATTGTGAAGAATGCATAATACATAATTATAAAGAATAAAATATTAAACAGTGGAAAAGACATTTAATCCCCTGCAGCTGCATCTTTTTTCTGTAACTTTTTTTTTTCGGGAATTTTTTCTTCTCCCTTTTGACTGTGACCGATTTTACTTCATTTTAGCCAACTTATACTCTCCCGTGAATGATTTTCCGAAATGTTTCCGAAATTAATTATTTAAAAACTATGTTTAGAAAAAAAAATATTATCGACGTGAAACTTAAACTCTTTTTGTGTATCATAGAATTGTTTTTATTTTAATAAAAATACAAAATTTGTTTACATTGTTTGAAAAGTAAGGACTATAAAAATATAATGGAACTTGAATTCTGAATAACAAATAAGAGAAAAAAAAAATTTACTATCCTGTAACGCCTTCAATTATTCTTCCAAATTAAATAGTGATTAAATAATTTTACTTAATATGGATTTATTTTCTTCAATTTCAAATTTTTAAATTAATTATAAAATAAATGCAACGTTTGATTGAGTTAAGAATCGGACGCGGCCCCCAAACTTGAACAATACTGCTGGATCGAGTTGACGAATTTAACTTTGTTGAAAATTCCGGCCAAAATGAAATGTTGATAAATTTATTTATATATTAATTATTTTTATTTTATTTTAGAAAGGAAAGCGGAACACTACTTTGACAGCACTTCCGGAAAGACCAAGTGGGAGTACATCTGCTTATTCTTCCTGGTCACCATGGTCAAGATGCATGCGAAAGTGCAAAAAACACCGAACTCGACAATGTATAAAACCATCAGTTTGTGGTACGAAAATTGTAACTGAACTCAAACCATGTATGGAAGGAAAGTGTTTGAAATTAAAAGTAAGTTTTACACCATTTCCACTTCTAAGGTAATCAAAACCAATGAAAAAATTTTATATCTAAAAAAAAATTTTTTTAATGCTGCTTTTTAAAAAAACATATAACTGATATGTTGTTGTTGTCATAGGCCTTTAAGGCATTTGGTGCGATTGTTCATGATGTTTCAGTGGAGCCATCTATTGGCAAGAATTCGACTTCTGCTCTTACGTCACACCCGTTTATAGAGCGGACCCATTCATACATCCATTCATTCAGCCACAGATCGTAGTTTTGATCTAAACCAGAGAACTATCAATCTCCAATTAAGTACCCCAGAGGTATTGATTTGTTATGGGGACATAGGGGACTTTGTGACCCGTCAGATTTAACGTGCAACCAGGCTATCCCGGCTCTATAGCTAATATAAAACTATATTTCCTGGACATATTTTCTCCTGTTCTGCTATTTTGGCCATTTTACAACAGATTAGCGACTGTCCACACGAAGATCTTTATTCGGACATTAGCCTTGATGTAGCTGAAGCTGTGTATAGGACCTTCGATCCTATTTAGTGTTTTATTGATTTATTATTGTCTTATTTTCCATGTCCATAATACGACTACTAACCAACCATTTATAAATCATAAAATAACTTCCATTTCATTAAAATTATTACTTAAAAGACTAACATTTTTATTAATATTATCGAAAAAAACAAAAATTTTATTTAAAATATTTTATGTAAGCATTAAAATGATTTCGTTTACATACTTATATCTCTTAGAGTCATTGACCTTTGTCTAAAATATTAATAGAATTTTTTTTCAATATTTTACAAAATGTTCTTTGCAAATTATAAGCTTACAACATGCGCAGTAAAAAAAAAAAAACCTTTTAAAAAAATGCTACCATTTCTAACATAAGTAATTATTTTACGAATTTTTGTCCGATTAATAATTTATCTATAAAATTTTTTTCTTTTTCAGAATCGTGAAGAGAAAGTAGACATATTTGAAGAGATTGTGAACCTTCGAAATGAATCTTCATCAGATGATTTTAAGATTCTTTTCCATATGCCACAATTATTATCTGAATGGTCATCTTGGACACCTTGCTCTAAAGACTGCATGACAACACGCAGACAAAGTTGTCTCATACCTGAGGCGTGTGGTCAAAAAAAGTATTCTGAAACGGCTATCTGTTATACAGAGGGCTCAGAATGTCAGGAAAAGTATGGATCAAAGAAGTGGAAAAAATATGGTACTGGTGCTGTTGGTAAGTAAATCGTAATTCAAACCGCTCTGATAAACTTTTTTCCCTTCATGAATTGAAAAATTGAAGGGCTTTAGGCAATATAGTGATAAGCCAAGGGGGGAGACATGTTATACATCAGCATCTTCCTTATTGTTTCCAGATAGGTACTTTACAAGTTTATGGAATTCCAATAAATAACGGCACAATTTACAGAAAGATCTTATTTATATGAATATTTTCCCCCAAAAGGTGTTCTCTTAAATATTTTGAAAACATAGTTTATCATTACTTTGAGGCTAAATATTTGAATGAAATATTTAAAAATATTGTAATAAACTTTTCCCTGTTTTAAAATATAATAGTTTTACTAAAAAAGTTTCTTGGCCTTAGGTTAGTTTTAACATAATACTTTAAAAAAAATATTTACAAGATTCTTTTCACTGAGAAGTTTTTTTTGTTATGTCTAAATGATTTTTGATGCGAAATAGATTCAGTATTTACGAATTTTCAGTATTTACAAATTTTATACAAATGTAAAATTTCGATGTAGTTTTTAAAATATTCAGATGCGACGTAGTCTAAATGGTACTCTGAGGTCAATAAATTTTAAAAAAATGGTTCATCATTTAAATTGTTTATTATTCGAGTTGTGATAATGTTTTTAAGTGATGTTTTTACTAAATGTCTAATGTTTTGTACATTTTAGGCATGGATGTGTTGAAATTGCACCCATTTAATGGCTTTGATTGTGGAGTAGCCCCCAAAGCATCCCATTCTATAGATTTCAGTAACAAATTACGCATCATTGGGGGTCGTGAAGCCCTGCACGGGATGTGGCCTTGGCAGGTAAAAATATAAGACTAGTATTCATCTGTAGTATCTAGTAGCATCATAGTATTCATTCATGAAAAAAATTTATCATAAACATTTAAAAATATTGAAAGGATTATACTCTTAATTATTTGTTTGCTTATTATAAAAATTCGACTATCTATCTATTATTATATCGCTTTATAAACGATATATTTGTAACTTGATTAAAAGTTTAACTACATTTCAAGCCATTTTAAATGATTTTGTTTTTAATAATTAACATTTAGTGACTCTGGTTCATGATTTATTTAAATTTTATGGTGTAAATAAGATACTTAAGAATTCTACTTTGTTGGATAACCACTTCTCCGTTAGATATAAAAATCTAATTTCTAAAAAAGTCATTGCTTTTAAAACAATTTAAATATTTCTCTTTAATAATACCTAAAGAATTACTCGATTATAAATAAAATATTTTCTCTTATGCTCTAATATTTAAAGCGAAGTATGTATTCTATACCGAGGAAATAAGTATAGTCAAAACTACCAATATATGGTAAAGTTTATCATATTTTTGACCGAAAAGCTGAATAATTTTTACCCAAACGCTTTGGTTATAATTTTGGTTTAATTAACAAAAAATATGTTTTCATAATCTGAGGTTAAATTTGGTAAGTTTATCAGAATACCTCACAGAATAGCATAAAAACTGTTTATTAGGTTTAATTAACTTTTCAGTTTTGTATTTTTTACAAAACGTGTGGTCCTAAGAACTATAATTTGGAAAACCAGAATTTCTGGTTTACAGTTAACATATGAACGGAAAAATTATTAGATGAATGGTTTAAATACAGTAACACAAAAATGTATTATTACAGTAAGATATGATATACATAAGAATCGTCAAAGTTACTTTTACGATACAATAAAAAGCAAGGAATATTAATTTAAGATACACATATACAATATTTCTTAAAATAAAACAAAAAAATTTCGTGTATCTGACCCCAAAAACGACGGTAACTAGTTTACACCAAAGAAGTGTTCCACTAAATCAAAGCAAAGGATTCAGTTCCTAGAGTGAAACACCTAGTAGGTTCTTTTTACACTACTTGGTGTAAAATAGCCATGTTTATTATTCAGTAACGCAAAAATGTATTATTACAGTAAGATTCTATTTTAATTTTATAACCGTAGTTAAACAGCCGACCCAATTTTTGGGTTTTGCGACTACTAATATTCAACTCCGTTGCCTTGTCATTTTGAACCCAATCCAAAAGACAAGGGAACTCGTGGGTCAAGTATTGGGAGAAATCTGCCTTCATGGAGGACTTTTTGATAGAACAAAACCGTATTTGCGTTACATGGACAGGAAAACCTCCCACGGCAGCTCGACTGGAAGGGGACTCTAACTCATGATCCATCTACCACTAAGGATATTTTACGTGAGCACTGTGGTCGGTGCGAGTAGAGAGCCTAGAGTAAAAGAGAGTGGACAAGGGAGAAACGATTCCTGATTGGTGGACAGAAAAACTTTACCGCCAGAGGCGAGAGTAGAAAATTCGCCATTGGAATTACATGGAGTGAAAATTATCTGACTCAAAAAAATTATGTTCTGTATTAATAAATGCATGTAATAAGTTCATTACTTACTTTTTTTCAATAAGAAACTTCACAGTTACAGTAAATGTTAAAATTATGGCTGAAAATTTGGATAGTTGTTAGTTATTAGAATTTATCCTTATTATCACTTACTTGCGTGCATATAAAGTTATGTTTATCTCATTGTAAAGAGAACAAGGTGATGAAATAACTAATGGTTAGATAAGAATAAATGTATTTACTTTTAATGCACATAATTTCTATCTAAATTACTTATAAATTTTAAGATTTGAGCATCTTTTTATCAAAACTTCAGAAGTGCAGAGTTTGGCGATATTACTTTGACATGTTGGCGCGTTACAATGTTCGCGTTACAATGTTACAATGCGCGTTACAAAGTAGCATTTGTTTACTTTTCGTTACCAACTGTATAAAATGCTAGTTTGTTTTAAATTTCAACTAATTATGGAAATTTTTGTTTACAATTTGTTGAAATAAACAATACCTTTTCAGGTGAATATGCGATAATTTTTTCCTGAAAAAGTAATAAATAATAATAAATTATATAATTTGTATTATTAATTATTATTTCTGAAATAAATGGCATAATCATTATTAATTTTTATATTTTATTTAAGGCATTTATTAAAAGCTGAAGTCTTTTCATTAGTCTTTTTTTTTTTTTTTGACGTTAATTTTTTAACAATTTCAGATGCTAGACAATGTTTCTTAAAAAATCTGTAATATCATGTGCTTTCCAATCTTAAAGTTTATATTATTGATACTTTAGTATATACTCTTAGAATAACAGAACCTTCAGAATAACACCAAATGAGCGAGTGGCGCCAATTTCGGTGTATCATCTGGCAACCCCCTTGGACAAAAATCTGACGGCAGCGCATGCGCTCTTGGATATTGTCATCACTCTTTTCAATACAGGCACTCTAGGTGCGAGCTAAGTGCGGAATTCATATCGACCAGCCATTGCTGGGATTCGAACTCGGTTCACCTCATTGAAAGGCGAACGCTCTATCCCATGAGCCACCACGATTCAGTAAAGAGGATTGAAACTTACTTGGTATTGAGTCTGATGTCTGATTTTAAGAAATATTTTATGTATGCATCCTAAATTAATTATTCGCTGAATGTACGAAGCTCCGAAATACTCGACCATCTTCACCAACGAGCTGCAGAGCGGTATAAGCTTTATCAATGAAGACTTAACTACACTCGTTGAAGCATGTTAAAACGCTCCATTCGGTATTAAATAGGGAAAAAAGACCATCGTTCACACAATTTTTAAAGTTTTTCAACACTAAATTGGAATAAGCGTTATAAGACAGTTTTCAGTAAATCCATAATTGGGCCATAATTTGTGATTTATTCATGTTGTTCATGTCATGTTGTATTCGCGTGTTTATCTTCATTAGGCTTCATTTTTCTACAGACTTAACATTTGAAAATTAAAGAGCATGTCGATAATGTTTGAAAAAGTAAAAAAATATTTTATTGTTTTATTTCTCCCTCCCAGGTGGCGATTCTCAACAGACACCGAGAGCCTTTTTGTGGTGGTACCATCATATCGCATAACTGGATTCTAACTGCAGCACATTGTGAACGAAGACGTCTTATTGTCCGTTCAGGAGAGCACAACTTGCTGAACCTCGAGAATACTGAACAGGAGAGTCCAGTTTCAAGAGTGTTTCTTCATCCAGAGTATAACATGAACACTGTCAGCAACGATATCGCCCTCCTCAAACTTCGGAGGCCATTTCGGTTTAATAATTACACGCAAGCAGCCTGTCTTCCAGAAGGCGATGAAAAACTTGAGGCTGACATAAAGGCAATTATACTTGGCTGGGGTAAGTGACTTCAGTTAAAAAACGCTCTGTTTCATAACTTTAAAAATATTTGCAAAAAATTGCAAATTTATTAATTGAAGAGCGTAATCAGACTCTCTGTGGCGTTTTTGAGCTTTTTGGAAATACCAGCTTTTAAAAAAAAATACAGTGGCAGCAGGGAGCCTTATACGAAACACATTTTCTCATTAATAATCGTCATCAAAAATTTGATTAAGCAGAAAAAAAATAAGTTCTATAATCTATATTAATGCACTCTTTAAAGTTGAAATATTATAAAAGTGTCTTATGTTTTTATTCAAAATAGAAGCTATAGTTTAAGAGGGAAAAAAATTCATCATTTATCGGATCGTTACCATAGTAAAAGGAATAAAGAAACATTTCTCACCTTAAAATATTATTTATTCTTAAAATGGTCAAAAAACATTTCGGGTATAAATATTCGATAATTCATTAGTTGTGGAAAATTTCCGTATTTTATCATTACAATAAAGCATGGATGAAATAGAAAAATAAGTAATAAGCATGCTTATCAATGAAAAACCTTTAATTGTTTCAAAAGAATTGAAGGGTTGGAAAAGTTCGCATGTTTTGAGCACTCAAAACAAGGTGCGTATTTTCAAGACCCACAAGATTTGAATGATGAAAACTGAACATCATTCCACTTTTTTTTGCCATGCAATGTATATTTAATTACATTGTGAAATCAAACATGTCTTAAAATTTAGATTAAGGATTTATGACTGATATTGTATATCATCAAAAATTCGATGAACCTGTTAGTGAGGCACGTTGTTTTGACCTTAGACACAAAATTAACTTTGATGACTCTGAAATTGTTTTTGACAATGTTATATCAGTACTATCGGCTTATATCAGTATATCAGCTTATCTTGATGCTCTATAGGCTTTAGTTCCTTTCAGACGAATTCCTATTCCCTAGTTAATAACATTAAGTAGGGAATAAATTCCTTACCCTTCTTACTTTCGCCTTGTAATATATCCTGCCCTGATGTGTCTATTTCGGCTACCATTGTTCCTCTCGGCTACTGCAGTTTTATTTTTTTTAATTTTTCTCACCTTTTTTTCTATTCCTTTTTTATGTTTGTATTATCAAGTTTTCTTCCTTTCAAATCTGTTTTATTTTCTTCATTCAATTCCAATTAGTTTTGAGAATAAGGGCACAAACTTTTAATAATTTGCAAGCAATATTTTTGCTTTGAAAAATGCACCTTATTGCATCAGTTCCGTAGAATTATTCATTTTAGGCTTAACTGTTTTTATCTGTTTTACTGCAATTGATAAATGTTTTGTCAATTGCGTTAAAAGTGAATACGAAACATTTAAATTCTAATATAAATTTTGTTTTAATTTTCTTAGGAAAAAAGAAAAGTTCTGCTATATACGGAACTGATCAACTGCATCAAGCGGAAGTACCAGTTGTCGGCCTGGACGAATGTCGACAGAGTTACGCAAATTACAATATAAGTGACAAAATGCTTTGTGCAGGTTATAAACAAGGTCGGATAGATTCTTGCGCTGGAGATAGCGGTGGACCTCTACTGATAGAAAAGAACAATAAATGGACAGTCTATGGCGTGACTAGTTTTGGCGATGGCTGTGGCGAAAAAGGCAAATTCGGAATTTACAGTGATGTCAGTAAATTCGTCCATTGGATTAAGAGAACTATTGCTAGGAATTCTTAAAGGAATTTTATTCTGTGAGTAAAATCTGGATAAACAATGATTGACTAGTTGAGCTAGTTTCTGTCACTGCTGGTTTTAAGCAGGATCATTGAATTTGAATAGAAAACCTTGAAGGTTTTGGTCGAACTATGTTTTTGCAATTTGACATTATTAGTAGTTTGTAATGTCTTACGAACAAAAACTATCAAAACTTTGAACGGCAAAACGATAATTAAGAAAACATATTGATTATGTATTTTAAGACTTTATATAGAGGGCATTTACATAGTACCACATTTTTGAATTTTTTTTTTTTACTTATTGATTAATTTATTGTGTTATGTACTCGTGTTTGATTGGAAAAATAATTTGAATTTGTTTAAATTGTTCTAATTTACGGATTTCTTCAAGTAAAATGCATTTGGTTGCAAAAAAATGGAGAACAACACTACAAAAATTTACTTTGTCAAGAATATAACTAGGTAAACAATAATTGCAATGCTAAACAAAATGTATCTCAATTTCTTCGTGAAAAATTGAATTAAATTTATTTAAATGTTTACAACATATTATTATGTTTGTTTTTTCGTGCACGTTGAAGATGTATTGTAGGAAGATTATTGTACTTAAATGTTTATTAGTTTATTTTAATTTTTTGTTTCAGATTAAGTGCAAGAATTAAAAATGAAATTCATATTTATGCAAGTAAAAAACTAGTTTAAACATTGCGAAATTTCGAAAAAATAATGCTTTAAGCTATAATATTTTTATTTATTTGATGCAATCTCATTAATAAAATTAGTAAGTTGATGGCAAATGAGTTATAGTTTTTGAAATTGATTTTTTGAATCTTGAATTGACATTTCTTTCAATTCAATTATATTTTCATTAAATGCAAAGTGTTAGTTTTAAATTAAGTGGTTATTATTTATCGAATGCGATTCATTTGCTCATAGTAATACAATAAACCAAATAATTTTCTTGAAAATATTTTTAAATATGTTTACTTTTTTTTTTAGATAAATGTCTTCTGTCATCTAATTTTCCCTTTGGAAATAAATACATAAAAATACAAAATGAAGCAAAGATATAAAAATAGATTCCTTATTTTATTAATCTGATTTTATTTCTTTCAGGTAGTAAATGTTTCATAAATTTTCAAAAGCTATCAAAAGCACAAATTAGCTTATATTTAATTTTTCCTTACCTTCATTTCTTTTTACTTAAGATTTACTTCATTTTAATAAAGTTTTTGACCTAGTCAAACTTCACATTATTGATTATATATAAAATATCAATTATGCGAAATTTTTAACTTGATGTTATGTATATTTTATTGTTTACTCTTATAGATATTATTATGTGAATTATTAGTTTTGCTTGATTTTTGGAGTAAAAGTCAAATTTCTATGATTCCAAAACATACTGAAATTCATCTCCATAAATGCTTGCTTATTCTTATTTATTTTTATAGTAACAAATTGTTATCATTCAGAAAATTAAATAACAGTTTAAAATAATTTTTAACTGTAGTTTTGTTTTAATTTTAATTGTAATTTTGTTTTAATTTTAATTGTAATTTTTAATTATAATCTAAATTTAAAAAAAAAAAAACGTATTTCTGGCGTTTTTATACAACATCTAAATACGAAATCTAAACACAATGTATGTCTGGAAACAAAGTAATTCTTTAATTATTGAGTAAGTTAAAATGTTAGGGAAAATTGCATGTTAAAAACATAAACTATAACGCATGTTTTGTTTTGTGATAAATTTTAATGTTTGAAAAAGCAAACTTTTATATGTGGATCATTTATGCAATCATGTTTATTTTGTTGAACTTATAAAAATTTTATGTCTTTAGACTGTGTTAGAAAAATAAAGTTTTTGAATTCTTGTACTTCATTTTTTAAATTACTTGACTTATGAGTAATTTTTTAGTTTAGGTAGTTGAAGGATTTATTGTGAAACAATGTACATTCGAAATTTGTTTGTTAAAATTGTAAAGCTAGTTTAGCAATAATCAGAGCCCCTCCACCATTTTTAACTATAAATGGTGTTTTTCGATTGGCTTAGGTTTTGATTCAATTCTGTTAGAAAACAATATTACAAGCAGAAAAAATACTAAAATGTGAAGAATATGTACCGGGTTTTACAAAATATTTCAACTGTTGGAAATTATTTCTTATGTTTGTGGATTATCATTGTTTTACAATAGGTTTTCAATTACAAATTGCATGAACTGAACTAAGTGAATTACCAATAGCTTCTTTTCTTGTTGGACACAGTATTGGATAAAGTAAATAATTGAACATACAAATAAATTCTTTTTGTGTTGGACACAGTAACTAATTGAATTTATTGATCAATTCTTTTTGCATTAGACACAGTATTGAACAAAGTAAATAATCGAATATACTAATAAACTCTTTTTGTGTTGGCCACAGTAACTAATTTAATATACTAATAGCTTTTTTTTTGTTGGTCACAGTATTGGACAAAGTAAGTATTTGAATAAACTAATAAATTCTTTTTGTGTTGGACATAGTATTGGACGCAATAATTAAATGAATATACTAATAGCTTTCTTGTGTTGTAGATAAATAAATTATTTTAAGCTTGTGCAGAAAAAGAAATGTCTAAATTATCAACCATTTTGTTATTTATCCATTGTTATAACTTATAATTATGAATACTTTATTAGAAATTTTGGAGTGAGTTGCACCTTAATATCGTTAAATTTTTCGTAACCTTAATATAGCGCTAAAGCAAACCTTAATTACAGTATTTTTTAAACTTATTAAACGTTACTGTGGTCTGACTGAAATGGAAACATGGTTCAATTTAGCACTTTATTAAAATTGTGGCAAATTTTCCCCCGCATGGCTAAATGTGTTAATTTTATAAGGTTAAATTGATTTTCCTAAGAGTGTAAAATAGATTAAACGGCAAATCTGTTTCTTCCGTCTTTAAAAAAAGTGAACTATTTTGAAAATATTATTTATGAAAAAAATATCTGACTGTGTGTGGTGCGTCCTTTTTTAGATCTCGTATTAATAATACTTTCTTTCAATTAATCTCATAAATTCTTAATTCATCATCTTGTATTCTTTTCAATTTAATTTTTATCGTAATGTCTTTGAAATTTGATGGAACTTTTTTTTCAAAACTTTAGTAATCGAATTATGAGTACATACATTTTCTAAAATAATTTTATATATTTTTAGAGCTATATTCTGTTGTTTTTATATTTCATGAATTTTCTTAATTTTACACTGTAAAACAATATCTAAAGTTTTCAAGTTCTAGCGTTAGTTTTGTATTATTTAGCCCTTAAGTTTAGCCTTTTTGTGTTATTAAAGTTTTGAAAGTTTTCTTCTTTCATTCGCGAGAATCAAATAAATTTTTTATTTATAACTTTTTCTGGTTGAAAAATAATTTATTTTACATGAATGTTCAAATTTGGAGTGAGCAAACGTTGATCCCTATCGATTGAACAAATTACTTATAAATATAATAATTAATTATTTTTTTACGGTTTCTTTTCTTCTATAGTAGCTAATTCAGTAAAATACAAAAAAAATATTATTGAAATATTTAATAAACTAATACATCCTTTGGTAAAATTTGGATGATCTGTGTTGAAATTTAAAAACTAATTCTTTCGCAAATCATATACACGAATAGGGGAAATAAATGAAATTAATATTGAATATTTTCTTTGGCTCTTATTTGAAAGCCTAAAGTTTTAGCCAACAAGACTAATGCATGTTTATAGGAGGGAGTTGAGGTCTGTGTTCCCGATATTAAGATACACCCATGCGAAGAAGGTTATGGGACCTTTCAATAAAAGAGAGAGCATGTTACAGCTAAAGCTCGAAAGCAAATGATATGCACATTACCTAGCTTACCTGGCTGCACATTAACTAGGATGATTTTGTGCAGAAAGACAATTAGACAATGCCAACCTTCATGTATTAAAAGATACCTCAAGATTGAATCAAGTTAGCATGTCTTATATACTAGTGAATTGATATTTAATAATCTTAGTGGTAGTTACGTCACAATACTCCCCCCACCAGAATTTTATCAGGGATAGAATTCAATTAGCGGATACCACTAAATGCTGCATTTGTGAAGGACCAGGAGAGCTGGATTGAGGTCACCGGGTTTTGAGCTTTAGCCTTGAGAGCTATATTAAGTTCATGATTATGCGTGTGATCACTCATGTGTTGCTATTAGCAGTCGAGTGTGTGCAGAAACCAGTTGTGTGTAAATGAGACTGAGAAGCAACAGCGTGAGGAGGACAATGGCGCAGTTACAATTAGCAAGTCTACTATTCAATGTGGACCATCCAACGAAGTAGGCGAAGAAAGACAATTAGACAATGCCAACCTTCACCTATGAAAAGGTACCTCAAGATTGAATCAAGTGAGCATGTCTTATATACTCTTAAATTGATGTTTAATAATCATAGTGGTAGTTACGCCACAATATGTTAAGGAGCGGAATCAAATGCTTTCCGTATTTACTTATATGATGTCTGCTTTATCAGTCTTCGTATCGTCGAAGCTCAAAATTTTCCTTTTCTCATTCTTTAAGCTAATTTGTTGATTTTTTGATTGATTCTTGTAAAAATATATAAATGACAATTTGAAGGTTGGTTAGAAAATTTAAGAAATTAAACAATTTTTTGGCACCTTAACGGATCCCCCCCTCCCTAGTTAATCTGCACATTGACTAGATAATCTTCAGAATAACCGATTTCAATAATTTAATGGCAACACATATGTCCTAACAAAATCATATTTAACGGATCACTCTAGTTAACTGATTACAGAATAACTGAATTCTATAATTTAGCAGTAACACATATGTCCCAACAAAATCATATTTAATGGATCACTCTAGTTAATCTGCAGAATAACTGATTTCAATAATTTAGCGGCAACACATATGTCCCAACAAAATTATATTTAATGGATCACTCTAGTTAATCTGCAGAATAACAAATTTCTATAATTTAGAGGTAACACATATGTCCCAACAAAATCACGGGGGCTATTTTCTCTATAGATTATTCAATACTAACTCATGCTTTATACTTAATGAAAAAAAAAATTATGTTTTTTAATGAAAACAAACTTTTGCTTTCGATCAAAATTACTTCTTGCGTGAATTTCAGATCATACTGTATTTTTCCATTAGTAAAATTTTTGATGAAAATGATGTTTATGTTTCTCAAGCTTCTCCAAAATCAATTTCAAACAGGATTTCAAAATATCAACGTAAATGTTCAAAAATAATAAACATATATAAATTTGATAAACAAACCGAAGTCGTTGAGTCAGCAAGGCGTGATAAATTTTGGAAGCAAAAGTTCGGTTATGGATGGCTTCGTGGGAAATGAATCAGAGCATTAAAGATGAGATGGAACGGAAGATGTAAAAAAAATTAGCGTTCGGAAATAAGCGTCTTAAATTGAGTTAAGTAACTAGGTGAGGAAAATGCTTGTTTAAATAGTTGGTGTTCACAGTTCTATCACCTATTATTTAAGATTTATTTGCAGGATTAAATCTTCAAATGGGTTTTCGACCAAGCCCTGAGCAGCAATAAATTTTTGTGCAGTTTTTTCTTTAAAAAACTATTATCCAGTTTGCTTGTAGTTTCAAACAAGCTTCAGGAAGAAAAAGAAATTACTGCCCGTTTAAAAAAAAATGTTTTAAACTTGAAAGAAGATTAATGCCAGAAAGTATGCTTTTCACCATGTTAAATTATTATGAGGAAAAGCTAAAAAAACATTTTTTTTTTGCTCTTAGAATATCTTCAAAACAAGCTACAAGGCGTGGAAAACAACTTAAGATTTATTAATATCTTAAGTACACTAAATGACTTCATGTTAAATGTAGTTATTGTTTATTCACTTCAAGTGTTTAACTGTTTTTTTTAAATATTTTTCATTAAACTTCTTAGTTAAATATTGTTTATTTATTTTATTTGTTTTTAAAATTTATTTTTATTCTAAACTTGCCTTCCTTTCCATCATTACAAACTTTTTGTGCATAGAATTCTTTTAGTTTATAAAGTAATCTATCAATTTATTTTGCTTTTATTAAACTATAAATACTGTAATTACTGTTGCTTATTAATTTCGTTTTTTCTACTCGCTTATATCAATTTGATTTCACATCTGTGAGAAAAAACAAGCTTAGAATCGATCATTTTGCGATAAGTTAGATCACTTAAATTTCGATTGGAGCTCTGTACCTGAGAACAAAGCATGTCTTATTGTGTTGTGTTATCTATTACCTAAGGTCAAAGTTAACTGGTAATTTTTTTTAAAAGCGAAAATCATTAATGTTGAAATATTTCAGCTATTTCTTCTTTTGTTCTGACTATTTCTTTCTGCAAGTTAGTAAATGTAGCTTAAAACTAAAGCTTGGTGGTGGCTTTTTTTTTTTAACCTTTCTAGCTGAAAGGACTTCAAAGAAATCCCTTAAACAAATACAAATGGTAATGCTAGTTTGATTTCATGAAAAATTTAACAGAAAACGCTTACCTTTGTATTCTTTATTGATACAAATTCAAAATTTATACATTTTATTCTAAATAAAAATAGTTAAAAGCTTGTTTTCTTTTGGAGTATGTAATAGTATCTTTTTCAAATTTTCTTTTTATCGCAGAGTAACATACATTTGCAAGCTAATAAGCAGATATTGAACATTACCGGAAAATTTATTTTTTTTGGTGAGAAATCTTAATGATGCAGTTAATTCTCTCTTTAAGCTTCTGATATGTAGTAGATTTAAATTGCATTTAAAACTACTGTTTTGCTTTAAAAGGGAAAAGCTTTGAAATTCTTGAACAGTTTAATCAATCAATTAAGGTGAATAGTTAATTTCTTAAAGCTTTTGATCGTGCCCTCTAAAAATATCATGGCATTTTTGAAACATATAACTTTGAATTGCCTGTTATATAATGAAAAATAATGCTATCATGAAAATACATTTCAGATACAAATTAATTTTTGAGATTGATTATGTACTTTTATTTCTAAATTTTTTACTTTTAAATGATTTTATTACAGAACCGGTTTAGATTATAATGACTTAATGGTGCCGAACAGAGTTACAATATTTTTAATAAATATTTGCATAACAAGAAATTTGAATCTTTTATGGAATTTGCGTCAATCTTCTGTTTACTTTAACTTTAACTTTTTTTATTACTATTTAAATGCTTTATCGAAATTAATTTTCGGTAGAGTCAATGACAAATATAATGCTCATACTTTATTTGCACTTTATTTGCATAAAGCACATACTTAATTTAAAAAAATGGAGACGTTACTTTTACTCCGTCAGGAACAGAATTAAAAGTTCAAATTCGATTAATTATTTTTATCCCTTTGAAACATATTTTTCCAACATGAAATGGCTAAAAAATAGTAATAAAAAAAGTTATAAAGTAATAAAAGTTTCTAAAATTACAGCTATTAACCCTTTCGTGAAAACGTTTAAAATCTGGTTACCGTAAATGCGAAAGAAAAGCTTCACGAAAAAATTGCACGTGAAAAAAAAATTCATTCCTTAATTTCCCTGTTACGCAACTATGTAACAAATTAAATTTTAAACGATATGATGCCGATGGATATGACTACGATTAAATTGGTTTTGACGGGCAACAATCACGAAGTAAAAGCGTGCATATGCTAGAAAGAGAATAAATGTTAAAAGATTCTTTCCTTGTAAGTAACTAGAATTTTGTTTATGTTTAGAATATTGCTTCTCGACGGAAAAACATCAAGATATATTTCACTCTTGGTTTGCGACGAATAATAGTCGGCCATTTTGAAGGAAAAAAAATTTTGAATTGTGACATTATTTACTTCACTTCCGTTCGGAAGTATTTTGTTCTCGTGAAATCATCTTTGACAGCAGTAAATAATGTTTACCTATATAAATGTGAGTTAAATTGGCGATGACAGATTTTACGAGTTAGTTTGTGAGAAAATAAGTCACCTGTTTTTGTTTTGCAAAAAAGCATATTAGAAAAAAGGACCTTAAAGCAAGTGCAGGTAATTATTATTTTTTATTAAAATTCTCCTGTAACTAATTGTCTGCTTGTAAATGCTGATTCTGAAAATAATTAAAGAGATTAAAAGTAATCTTTAATTTAAGATGACTAATTACATCAAGATGCCGTCTAAGCATCATGATGCATGATGGCCTAAAATTTTAATTTCATAATAAAGGCAACTTCTTCGCCTTAAATCTTCTATAATTAATTAATAATTAAAAATATAACTTTAAATTGGCGATGACAGATTTTACAAGTTAGTTTGTGAGAAAATAAGTCATCCGTTTTTGTTTTGCAAAGAAGCATATTAGAAAAAAAAGACCCTAAAGCAAGTGCAGGTAATTATTATTTTTTATTAAAATTCTCCTATAATTAACTGTCAGTTTGTAAATGCTGATTCTTAAAGCAATTAAAGAGATTAAAAGTAACCTTTAATTTACGATGACTAATTGCATTAAGATGATGCATCTAAACATTATGATGCATGAGGGCCTAAAATTTAAATTTTAGGTCATTATTTTATAATAAAGGCAACTTCTTTGTCTTAAATCATCTATATTTAATTAATAATTAAAATTATAACTTTTAGTTTTAAATTTTTTTAAAAAGTTTACTAAACCTTAATTTAAGGTGAATAATAAAATCAAATGATCGACTCAACATTTTGGCGCATTATGAACCATTTTTGTTTAATGTTATCATGCTTATTTTTCTTAATTCTTCGATAATTAAATATTAGTAAAAATTATTTTTAAATTGCTAAATTCTTAAAAGTAGTCAAAAAATTATACTAGTCCTTAATTTTAATTAAAAAGGACTAATAATATCAAGATGCAGACTAAATAGAATGAAGCATTAGGACCTACAATTTTAATTTTTGGTCATCATCCTATAATAAGGGCAACGTTTTGCCTCAGTACAGTTTCGTAAATTAGAGAGAGAATTAATTTTGAAAAATTAATTTAAATTTTTGACTTTTTTTGGCTCATTTGTAAAAACAATATTTGAATGAAATGGTTTGAACAGTTGTTCAGAAATGGAAATTTTTTAAAAAAAATTACTTATTTAAAAATTTATTGCGAAGTAACTTATCGACCAATTTTGTGCAAATTTTTTATTTTAAATTTACTTAGTTTAAATTGTATTTCTTAATCAAAATTCTTATAACTATTGATTTTAGAAATGGGAGAAAATAATGAAAGAAAATAATCGTTACAAATAGTTTTATGAATGTAGTTTTATTTAAATAAACGAGTTTTAAAATGTGAAAATTTTTTTAATTTGCTTACATAGCTTCAGTGGTATGGAAAAAGTACGAAAAAAGTGAAATTAACCGTAAATGGTCCAAACTTTTGAATTCGATATTAAATTAAGATTATGAAAACATTAATTGCTTCAAACTATTTGGAGATATATTTTCCAAGAAGCAAAATACAAAAAATGCTGCATTTAAGGAACTGAAACTTAACATAAAAACATAACATTAAAAAACAAACAAACATAATATTATCTGACCTGACTTATTGCAATTTTAAAAATAGCAATTAAAGTTTATTTAAAAATTAGGAAATGGGAGGATAAATATTTTTTTAATAAAAAAATAATTAAAATAAATTTAATTTTTAAAAATAAATTTTGCTATAAAGTATAGATTGCTATAAATTAACGAATTTAGTTTTGAAAATGGACATTCGAAGCTTCAATGTAAATATTTGGAGAAGAAACCAGAAAAGTAACTTTTTCATAAAACCAATTTCTCGAATTAATATCATTAAGCTATTAAGAACGTTCTGAAATCAATATTAACTCAAGCGGAAAGATTTCACTGTATTTAAGCTGCATTATTTTTTATTTTTTTTATCTTTCATGAAACGATTGGGTTTTTAGTGATTGTTGTTATTTTGCGTTTATTATTATAATCACATAAGGAAATAGAGAACAAGACATTGTAAAACCTTAAAAATAATGACTATAGTGGAATTGAAATGTCTTCATTATTCATGGGTACGAGAATTTTTTATTTATATTTAGAAATTATGTAAACCTGGATAATTAAGTATATTTGCCAAATATAGGAATAAATAATTGTGATATTATAGGATACAATAATGTTAAAAATGTTGTATTGTCGTGATTTAATAGCTTTGAAGGAACTTTTTTAAAGCTTGCGTTTAAGGGATTTTTCGCATGAAACAAATAAAAAATGAGTTTGCTTCTCTTAACAAGAAAAATATACATTATATGAAATTAAAAAAAGTTCATTCGTATCATTGTATTTCTAGATATACAGTTTTTTTCCTTATAGCAAAATGGTTGTATGTATTATAGTAAAACATTCCCTTTACTTATATCAAAATAATTGATGCACCAATTAGATCTTTTTTTTTTTTTTACTTAAATATCGAATTTCCCATCATGAAAAACTAGTTTCCAATTTCAATTGTACAAAGCTTTATAATCTGGAAAAAATGGTCTTAATAGCTTAGTCAGGAGATCAGCAATTTTAATTTTACTTTTTACTTACTTTGAAATATCTGAAAAATAATTTAAGCCAGTTGAATAAATTTCATTTTGAGTATTTGCGGCGGCCACGGTGCAAAGCTTGATTCCCCCCCTAGTGGGGAGATCAACTGTGGTTGGTAGAGCATCCTACTACAATTCTGGAAGTCCTTGGTCCAAATTTCGCCGGCAGCCAACGTGAACTTATATTATTAACCTTAAAAATAAACTAGAATTGAATTAATCATAAAATTATTAACAGCAAATATATTAAGTACATGAAAGTTCTTACCTATGATGTAATCATTCATCTAATTAATGTTATTTGAGATTTCAGGATTGTACATTCCCATGGAAAAAATAGCGGGGAATATGCACTGGTATAAGTACAACATAAAATCCATTATGAACTAAATTTTTTAAATATATTTAAACTTTTTATTAAATGTTTTAAAATGTACTTATTTGAAATAGGGATGTTTCAAAATTGTAATTCAATTATAGTTATTAGGTTATAATTTAATTAAAATCACCTTGTTTGCGTAGGTAAGATGAACTTGCATCTCTTGCATCAGCTTTTAATGTAGTGTCTCACACATTTCTATCTCCACATCATTTTTGAGACTATGCAGTTTACTTAAAAATGTGAATATGCTGTTTTTAATTTTCCTTCTTATTTCTTTTAGCACGAAAAAAAATAAATCTGATTATTTAATTTCGTTCGTGTAAATCTGATCCTTAAATCAAAAGTTTTTACTTAATAACTGTACTACAAATGAGTACACAGGCTGTAAAAAACAATCTAACAATGCTTATAGTAGCTTATTTATAAGCTTAAAAAGTGCTTTGAGCATAATAAAAAAAATTGAGCATAAAAATTGTATTGAGCATTATAAAAGCTTAAGTAAAAAAATAAGTTTTTATTTAAGCTTTTATTAAGTAAAAGCTTAAATAAATAAAAGCTTTGAGCTTAAATGAAAAATAAGAAAATTGATTGAGCTTAAAAATTGCACGCTATTTTATAAAGTTGAAGTTTAAAAAAATATTTTGATAGGTTATAAAATTGAATAGTTTTTTTTTGGTACTAAACTCTGGTACTATCATACCTAATATATTCCTGAGTAGCCGAGAGATATATCGGTGACTTATCTCTGGTCACGATTGTCATCGCAAATATTTTCTGAAATTAAGCTGTTTCTTGATTCTCTTTGGTATTTGTAAGACAACTAGGAAAAAATGGACACGTTTCACCTTGCCTTCTGTCCCCCATCCACGTAAAAGCAGATCCTATACGGGATAAGACTCAGTTGGCGAAAATTGAATTTGGAGTTGAAGGAGCGCTCTTGACAATCGCCAAACAACTGTGCGCTGATGCTCTTGCTATGTTTTCGATATAGTATCATTCGCAAAATTTAATATGGATGTGACATTTTTAATTTTAAGGAAGCGTATCTTCCTAAAACTTTTGAGAATATTATTACACAAAATAAAGGAAATAGTATGGAAATTCGTTCTTAAGTTAATTCATTCAATGATATATAAGTTTGGATGAAATTAGATATCATTTTAGATAAAATCAGATATTTTTATGGATTGATTAGATTTCGGATGGATAAATATCATTTAGAGTTTAAAAATAATGCCATAAGCTGTCAAAGAAAAATCTCTTCATTCATAAATTTTATTTCTCTAGATTAAACGCATTTCAAATCAGATCAAATTTTTCCCTAGATAACAAATAGATTTATTTTGGAGCTAACAAATTTCGGATTATTATTTGAAAATTTTGAAAATATGAATTATTTCATATTTTTACAAAATTGTTACTTTAAAGCGAGATAACATTTTTTAGAATACCTATTGTTTTTCTAGTAAATATTATGTTTCAGTTAACTTCTTAAAAAATCTTTATAAAAATGTTTACAATATTCTTTTATTAAGACTGATGTAATCAAGAACATCTGTAAATTAAACTTTCTTTTCTTCATATTTCTTACAATGAAAGTAAAATATAATTGATTTTTCAAAATATTGTTACAAAAAAACATGCTATTACAATGTTACATTATGTTTTGTAATTTTTTTATAAATAAAATATTTTTATTTTTTTGCTGAAATTTCCTGTACTATATTTTTAAAAAACAACCTGACTACATTTTTAAGAAATAATTATAGCTTGAATAAACTTAAAAGCATAGAGAAAGCATCTCATCTCTAATTTTTAATTGATAATCTCAAGTTTGAGTGAATACGATTTTCAAGTTGCACCGGCAGTTATAAAGTCGCAAGTTTGTTGGTAATTTCCCAACATTCAAAAAGTGCTGATTTGGCTATACCACACTTCAAACTTGGAAAAAAGAATGAAAAGAATACGGTTTAGGTTAATATAATTTCGTTCTCCCACCACATTTACCCGTTATCATTGCCAATTGGCCAATTGCAATCGCCTTGTTTCTTATCCCATATAGGATCAGCTTTTACTCGCTCGTTCCGGCTCCTTTATGAAAGAGATAATGGATTGCCAGATGTAAATTAATTGGTGTCACTTTTTTAATAGGTCTTGCATCTCTGAATTATTCTTCTCTAATTATTTTCATCAGAAATTGTAAAACAAAAAGGTTTATTCCTATTGTATTTTAACTTTAAAATATCGAGTAAATATATTTAATATTTTCCCCACTCACATTTGCCTATTTCATTTCAGAAACAATCTTCACCATGAGATTTTCTTGGCCAACGAGACTTGGCATCTTTCAATTGCTTATGGCTTGTTTACTAATTGCTTTACTGACAAGTTCAGGTGAAGCCCATGGTCCGATGATCATTTTAAAAGGTAGCAGCCGTGGTCGGCATGGCCATCATGGTGGTGGTTTTGGAGGAATGGGTGCTCTCGGACTTTTAGCTGCAGGTGTAGCAGTAAAAATGGCTCATCAGTTCATGAAAAATCATCATGGAGGATTCGGAGGATTAGCTGCTCATCACGGACCAGCGATGGGACACTCATTTGGCAGTCATGATGCTCATCTTGCAGATTATGGATATACGCCACAAGAACATGGGCATTGGATGCCATAACTGATTCCTCCTTACTAGTCATTGTAAATAATTTATGTGAATAGATGAATATGAAATGTGTACAGATGTATGTACATAGTACAAACACTGTTTTTTACTAATAAAATTGAGCTCAATTTTATCTTTTATTTGTAATTTATATATTTGAATCATTGAGTTTGGAAACCGGTCATCTCCAATTAAATTAAGAACTGAATAGTTAAGCATCTGCTTGCTTTATATAGCTTTTTTATTTTTTGTTATTAAATAATGGCTTTTTATAAAATATTCTATTTCAATTGTGAGATAACATCTCTTAAATTTTTTTGTTTAAAGAATAAATTTATTCTTGATGACTTGCTTTTAGATAAAACCCTAAAACGAATACTATACATTATTTTTAACAAGAATATTAACAATTAGTCATTTAGAAATAAATTAACCGATTTATTTAAGTCTTAAACTACATATTCATGAATCTTTGTGTAAATTTAGAAATATTTCGGATTATATGTGCTGAACCACTTAAAAATTTCTTCATAGAAAGACAAAAACTAATTTAGTTTGTATTGTAAATATTTTTTTGATGTATCCAATTTTCTTCTGATTTATGGCAACTTTTCAAAAATATGTTTCCTCAACTAGTGATGATGCCATTTTTAGGGTGCTTTTTGTTGCACTGAGTAAATATTAATTTGCCTTCCACCAACGAAAAGAGATACTTCGACTTCACCAGGTGAAGTGCTTTTATTAGTAAACTTGCTGTAATATGACAGCTGAAACCTCAGATGTATTTTGATAACATATTTTTCTTTGAATGCTCCACCCACCAGCTTTTGAAATCAAGTATCATAATATTTGTAATCAACTCTTTACAGTTCATTGTTACTTTTATAACTCGTTATTTTCTTTACCATCTAAAAAAACTGTCCCCTGAATCACTCATTGTCTGATGAAAAACGTCAACAAAATAAAAAGCCTAAACTAAATAATTAATTGTTTGGTTATACGAGCGGAAGCCATCTAGTGGTATATTTACAAGTTTATTCAGAGACCGAATCATTTCCAGGCTATGGCATGTTATCAAATTAAGTCGAGATTTTACTGCTCAAAATATACTATTACAGGTAGGAGGGCGTAAATTTTTTATATTCTAATTATGTGTCCACGTTAGTTAAACTTAAAAATGCAAAAATATCAATTCCGAAAAAAAAAGTGGAGATAACTGGTTTTCGTACTCATCGATTTATTTCATAAAGTTAAATAGAGTTCAGAAAAACAGCGCGTATTGAATTTGTATTTGAAATAATTTGTATTTGAAACAATTGAATTATATTTCAATTTGTATTTGAAACAATTGAGTTATATTTCAATTTGTATTTGAAACAATTGAATTATATTTCAATTTGTATTTGAAACAACAATCATATACAAATGTTGTTACACTCAGGGGATAGAGCGCTCGCCTTCCAATGAGGCGAACCGGGCTCGAATCCCAGTCGATACGAATACCGCATCCGTCTTGCACCGACCACACTGCTGACTTGAAATATCCTTAGTGGTAGACGGATCATGGGTTGGAGTCCCCTCGCGGTCAGGCTAACCGTGGGAGGTTCTCGTGGTTTTCCTCTCCATGTAACGCAAATGCGGGTTAGCTGCATCAAAAAGTCCTCTCCGAATGCAAATTTCTCTCAATACTCGATCCAGGAGTTTCCTTGTCTTCTGGATTGGGTTCAAAATTACAGGGCTACAGAGTTGAAAATTATTTGTACTAAACTCAAAACAAAATTGGGCGGTTCAACGACGGTTATAAAATAAAATAAAATGTTGTTACAGACATGAACTACACATACTATAAGTAAGATTCCTCCGCCTGATGGCACAAATCTTACATCAGTGCATGCGGTCCAGGAGGGATGGTGTTTTCTACACTAGGGAGCGTTGTAAGGTCTTGAATGCCTATATTTCCGGGTTACTGTTTTTGGTGCATTTTGAAGCCATTTGGCTTGCATTGTGATCATTATGTTTTGAGATTCTCTTGAATAGTATTTCTTGTATACGTGTATTTGCTACCTGATTTATTATTTGCGTTTAAAAGAAGAATTGCTATAAGTTACGTCATTTGAAGTCCTATTATTTCAAGACGTAAGAATTATCATTTGGAAAAAATCAATATAAAGCACTCCTTACCTTGTTAACAATATACCAACTTCGGAATATAAACCTAAATAATAATTTGCAAAATGAACTTAATATCGCTGCTCGAACAATATGCTAACACTGGAGTATAACAGTGTAGGGCTCGCAGCAAGAACAAATAGTAATAAACAAGTAAAATGAGGCCAAATCAGAACTGCCGAAAAGCGAGTTCTTTCTAAATCTATCTACCATGTCAGTTTTTTTTTTAATAATGCGTCTCTAAATAACTGAAACCAATTTTCACTTCCAAACTCATCAGAATTACTTAATATCAATCTTTTGAAATACAACAGATTGCAGCTTCGAAATTATATAATTCATTTCTTTTATTAAAAACAAAATTATCTGTTTTAGAATATCACCTCGCGGAATAAGCCGTAGTAAGCAGCTGTATACTTTCTAACCGGAAGTAGAGCACGTAAAGAGCTTGAGATTGTTGTTGTTTACAAAAGTCTACGATGATTACAGAGTGGACTGTAAATTTAGCAAATATTTTATTACAGGACGTTCACCATAGAATGTCCCTAACGAAGAACGATATATTTTTAAATTGATATCCATAGTTTTAGTATAGGACGCTCACCATAGAGCATCCTTATCGAAGAACGTACAAAGTAATTACATTGAAAAATAAAAATGCACATATATCTTTTTCCTTATACGTAATATTTCAACTCTGACTGAATGAAAAGTACATCTCGTGTCGCAGAAAAATCTTAAAAAAGCTAAAATTACTTTAAGTATATCACCTGTAAAGTATTGGTAGCAAATAAAAGCCTTTTTTTAAACATGGAAATGAGTTTGTAAAGTTTTTAATGCAAGTATATATCCATAATTAAGGAGGAGTAGAGGAATTATTTTTGGTAAAATTTACAAGAAAACATTTACTAACGAAAATCAGCGTCATTGAAAAGTGAAATTTAGGGAACTTTCTTTATAATGAGAAACGAGAATAAAATCAGAGCTCATTAAATTGAATTATTTTCAAAAATACCTAAGCGCAATGATTTTGTTTTCAAAGTAAAGCTGATAACAATCAAAGTTTGAACATATATCTATACAATGAAATTGGTCAGATGTGCAGTGCTTAGAAAAGCATCAATCAAAGGCAAATGTATGCATCATAAAAATGAAATAACATCTCAAGAAATTTTTCTCAAAAAACAAAAATAGAAACAATGATATAAAATAGGGGGAAATGTGGCCTAAAAATAATGATTTTGTAATCAAGATATGACTCTGGCATTCTTAAATTATCATATTGATGTCACTCATGCAGAAACTGTCATTACGTTTCAGATTGCATAGTGTATTTGAAGTACATAATAGGGGCTGAATTCATTATATTGATATCATTCTAAATTCTGACGAAAGTAACTAAATAAAAATTACTGGCATTATTATTGAATATTCCTTGGAAATATGCCCAATGTACACGGAGAAAAAAAAATTTCTGGTAAAATTACTGCATTGTACGGTAACGACAATTCTGGCAAAAAACAAAACAACATAATTCTGGTTAATAAAACCATATATTCGGTATTTATATCTATCTTTTGGTAATTTTTCCATTCACATAGAAACGCTCTACCAGAAATTCCGGCTTTAAAAATGATCGATCTTACATCTCTACATTAAGTAAAAATTATAAAAGTAGAAAAGTGGAGTAAAAAAATTAGAAAGTAAATTTAAACTGAATAAATGATTTTTACGTCATGTTTAAAGGTAAGACAAAATTACCAAATTTTAGCACATTTAAGAAATTTTATCGCACATTATAAAATCATATTTTTTTTGTTTGTTAAATTTTACAAAAATTATTACCATAGCTCTTCGGGAAAAATAACCGAACTTTTTGGTGTTCCCATAGAGCACGGAAATATTTCGCCATATTCTGGGAATTTTGACTACACTTTTTTTTTCTCAGTGTACTTAGTTTAAAATGAATTAAAAGATCCAAATTTGGCTCAATCTCGTTTTGCAATTGGATTAAACTTTAAAATGGTTTATTTTTTGATTCAAAACTCAGGTGTAAGGCAAGAGTCTCGTGTGTATAAGTTTACATAAAGATTCCAGATTAGAATATGTGAAATGGTCTAACTACAAGAATGGCAATTCAGGGATTGATGTTTAACACTAAACATACCAACACTTAATCTATACCTATTTCGATTTAAAGTATACCAATTTTTACATCAAGTCCGGCCAAATGATTGGACTTTATGTTCCTTGATTGAAAGAACGAAATATGGATGTTAGGAAGGAAATAAATAGAAAAAAACTTTATTATAATTAAACAAAATTGTATCTTGTCCATTTTTATGTGTTACAAACACAAAGAATAAGAATTTTTAATTCATTGCTCAACGCATTTTGTACATATACAGGGTGTTTCCATTGAACATTTTCCTCGAACATATTTCTTCTAGCTATTACTATTTCTATAATTCTTATAATTATTCTTATAACTATAAGAATATATAAGAATTATAATTCTAATAATTAGTATTATTTCTTCTAAGAACTTGTGCTGTCTTGATTGTTTCGACATTTTTCTGGGTAAAAAATAACAGTTAGTTAGAAATGAAGTAAAGCTATTAAAATAAAATATAAGCTACTTACCAAAACATTTAGTTTTTGTCGCTTTTTCTTACAAAAAAATGCCAATCTAAAATTTTAGGTACTTTATTGAAATTTGAGTTCACAGTTATTCTGATTGAACTAACTACGCAACAGTCTTTGCAGAAAGGTGCAACTAATCGAATGCAATACGTTGAACACGCATTAGATGGCAATTTCTAATCCGATAACCTTATTCTGATCCGATAACCAAAAAATTGCTCTCCCGGTCAAATGACCGGTTGTGGTAGAAATAGGTTTACGACAGATGTTATTCCGAACAAACAAAATACAAAATAATAATAATAATAGAATATGAACTGTATATAATTGTTCGAAAAAGTCATGAAGTCAAATGTGCAAAAACGATGAGGTCATAAGCGCATTTTCGATGCAAAAGCTCTTAAGCAGTCATTTGACCGGTTATGTTTAGTGTTAAGAAGGCAAATTTTTATAGCTGCGAGGAAAAATATTTGTCAAAGGAATGTTTATTATTATTTTTCTTGCAAAAGATTAGGATACAATAAAAAAAACTTCCTCTAAAAGTTATTGTAAAAAAAAAAATTCTAGCTAATTTTTAGTTGTTTATTATCTTATAAAAAAGAGGGTGGGTAAAATAGTAATATTAATGCTCATTAAAATTGGGAAATAAGTAGAAAATTATGTTTGAGGAAAACCTTTTCAGAAGATCGAAAAAACCGTAAAACACAAAAGAAAATTTTTTGCACAAACTGGCTTTCATTATATTGTATTAAATGCAGTCGTCGGAAAAACTACATTTTCTTTGTAGTTAACTACAACTACTTTATTACATTTGTAGTTAACTACAACAACAACTACTTTTTTTTTTAAATGTAGTGACTGCAAACTACTTTCGAAATGTAGTCACTACGATAATTTTAGAAGAACAAACTTATCTGGAGAATTTAATTCTCACCAATATTCAAAATGATTTTGAATTAAAAATTGGCTTGGTTAAATATGAGGAGATATTAAGAAGTTTTAATTCATGTTTACATGAAATAGTTTTTTTTTATTCTAAAGCATTTTTCACGAATTTGTACCTTTAACCTTCGAACTCTATGATTTTTTCGACGGTGATTTAAGAAATGCTAGGAAATTATCAAATATTTGTGATTTAAGTGATTAATGCTTTTTTACATCCTCCAAGAAATAAAGTACAGTGTGAGAAACAAAAAACGGACCACCCTGAGTAAATTTAAATCTAATGAACGGATCTTCATGTTCTAGGACTCAATCTTAATGGTTTGAGGAGGTGACTATGCTAATTAATTAATGCCGACGATATTCTAAGTTACGATATCAGACACAAAAACGTACTTAATAGTTTCTGTGAAATCGAATTTAAAAAAAAGTCAGATATTTAAAATTCGATTTCTCAGAAACAACCTAATCGATTCGCACTGATTTTCCCGAGCATCAGACGTAGATCTTATTAACGTTCGGTCACAGAGGCATTCTCATTGCGTACGTTGACGGACTCGCGAAGGATTTGCACCAATGAGATTCAAAAAAAATTTTGCGTTAAAGCCGTGTTTCTGTTAAACTAATGTAAAAAGTAGTTGCCAGGAATAGCTGCAAATTTTTTTTTGTATCGCACAACTCACTACACTACTTCTTTTCAAAAGTAGCGCACTACACTATAAACAACGGAAAAAAGTAGCGACTACGGTAGTTTCTCTATTTGTAGCGCGCTACTTCCGACCACTGATTAAATGCATCCATTGTTTGTTTTTTTAAATAAAAAGATGAAATGGATTCGAATGAAAATTTTCGAGAAAATTACAATTGAGCACATAATGATGACATTAAAATATGGACATAAAAATTAAAATGAACATAAAATCGTGACTATATTCTGTAGTCTAGAATCTGCTATGTAACTTGCTATGAAAAGGCTATGAAACTTGCAGAAAAAAATACAAAATCAAGCACAAGGAATTTCTGGCTAATTGTTTCAATATAATTTCTTAATTGTTACTCACATTCCTTCGCTTCGGACAGTGTTTTCCAAAGTGTGATACTCGTACCCCCAGGGGTACGGGAACAATTTAGCGGGGGTACACGTTCTTATGAGAAATATCTTGCAGCAAACGAAAATTTCAGAAAATTTTATTTAAAAACAAAGCTAGCTATGAAAATTTACAATAACGTATTTTTCTATTGGCTATTTTTTGCAGAGTTAACAGTTAATAATTAGTGGTGTCAACAGTCAGTTGTGATTTTTAACTTTTGTGCAATTTTTTTATAGTAAAAAATACATTCATTTTTTTATTAGTGGTACACAGCGTTACGAAAAATTTAGAAAGGGTACACAAAAGTCATAAGTTTGGGAAACATTGGCTTAGGAAGATGATTCGATGTATCATCTTTTCGTTTTCTTTCACATTAGGATTTTCTTTTCTTTTCGTTATATCCAATATTTTTTTAATAATTTTAATCGAATAAGAATAGTACTTGAATACTGCATGGGTAGAAAGAATATATGCTCAGGGCTCCACATTATAAGGGATTTCAAAGGTCAAAATTATAATATTTTTATTGTTTCTCTATTTTTTTAATGATTTTAGTATTTAGCACTTAATTTATGAAACTTCATACCCTTTACTAGTTTATTGAATTTAAACTAATTATACTTTACTTAAACGTAATCATTTTCTTTTAAAATACTATTTTTTAACATTGATGTTGACGTAAATAACTAAATCAATTTCTAGCTAAGTTTCTATGCATTCCTAGATGAAATGTCTAGAAATAAATAAATATTATAACTTATTTATTTCTCGACACATAATTATTAGCTTCATTATTATAATTTATAAATGTTTCGGATTTAAATGACTTTTCATGAAAGGAGCAAGTAGTCAGTGAAAATTGTAAGCCCCCCACAAATCAATACTCAACCCAGGGTCTCGAATTCTTTTAATTGGGTATTTTCTTTCATGTTATAATACTGTGCTAATTGATATCTCACCATCTGATATCAAAATTAAAAAAAATTAAAACATTACATGTGAATTAATAATTTTAGATGCCCGTTCGCTTCCGAGTAATGACAAAATACAGGAAATAACCTTCATAAAGTGATCAAGAAAAGCCTTATTCTTGTTGTCGTATGCCATTAAGGTGCGATTATTCTTGTTTTCCAGCATGTCATTTAGGACCAAGAATTCGATTTCTGTCACACTCAAACGTCACACCCGTTTATAGGGCGGACTTATTCATACATCCTTTCATTCATTCATCCACAGATCGTAATTTTGACCTGGACCAGAGAACGATCCATCTCCAATTCAGTACCCCCAGTGGTATAATTTGTTATGGGGGCATAGAGGACTTTGTGACCCGACGTATTTAACGTGCACCAGTCACCATTAAGAGTAGGAAATGAACATAAAATCATGAGTGCAGTCTGTTACCAGGAAACTTTTTTAAAAATCAGCAAAAACTGAAAAACTCGTCGGGAAACTACAAAACCCACAACGAGATTTTTTTATAAACATAATTTTATCATAATTATCACCCGAGACCTTTCTTATTAATAAGAAAAACCTGATTTTAGTAACATCCTTCCGTCATGTTTTATCTTAATTGGATCTTTTTTAATATTCGTTTGTATCTCTCTTTTTTTTAAAATAATTTCTAATCAATCCTATCTGATAAAAGTACTAATTGATCGTGGATCGATAAAAAAATTTTAAAAAAGAAATCTCACGCAATTCATTTCTTTCACAATCAGCAAACCAATCATTTCGGACGTTGATTCGCTTTTGAGCGAGGGGGAAGAAAAAAAACTGAAAGTGACATTCATAAACCGATGGAAGTAATCACTTCTTCCTTCCTTCAAGTAAATCGTTTCCGGTGGTTGCATACAAATGGACCACATAATCGAACAAAATCGTTCTTCCATTTCTCCTTCTGCTCATGGAATTTAAAAGATAACGATTCTGATCTAATTGCATTTGCAGGAAGTTAAATTTAAAAGTGTCTGGAATATGTAACAACAGTGGTAATGAAAATTGATTTTTTTTCTTTTTATTCTCTTTCTTTTGGGTAAAACCAGATGTTACAGAAATGAGGTTAACAGAGGGGAAAAAATGAGTCGTTAATGAAATCCAGATGATATTTCGTTGTTTTACCTTTTGTTTCCTTTAATTTTCTTCTATGGGTCAGGAAACATTTGAATAATCCATATAAAAGGAAAACGGCGCCTACTTTTAAAGTCATTCGAGAAAAAACTATTCGAGTAACCAAACGCTCATTACTGTTTATCAAAGGTAAGCAAAATAATTCAAAGATTTTTTTTGTGAAGTTTTGAAATCTTTTACGTAATTTAAATCTAGATTTTAACAAACGAATACAATAATACTTTAAGTTTGAACACTTTTGTCACTTATTGCTATTGATATTATTTTAAACTAAATACTTTTTTAGAATCTATTTTGCCATAGAAAATTTAAAAAAAAAGGCACATTTTAAGTGCTTTACACTTAAAGCAAAGTTATAATTTTAAACTATGCATAACATCTTTGCCGCTAAAAACTATCTGGGCTTCAAAACGGACAAATCACTTGAATATTTTAAAAATTATTAAACTTTCTTAAAAGTCACCGAGATGGCGAAATTTAACCCACCAAGTTAAAATTATCAAAATTAATGAGTTATTTTGAATTTGCAAATTTTTATGAACCCTGATATTGCAGTGTTTGCGTAACTTTTTAAATATTTCAAATTTAAAAAACTTAAATATTAGACGTACTTTCTCACCGGAAAAAAAACTACCTGGTCTTCAAAATGGATAAATCTCTTAAACATTTTTAGAATTATTAAACTTTTTCAAAAAGTCACCGAGAGAGATGGCGAGATTTTACAGCGAAAAGAAAAATATCAAAATCATTGAGTAATTTTGAATTAATGCAAATTTTTATGAAACTTGATATTGCAGCGTCTGAGTAACTTTTTAAATATTTAAAGTTTAAATATTAGACATACCATATTAAACTGTATGGGTTTCAAAATGAACAAATTATATAAATATGGCAAGATTTTACCACCTAGATGAAAATTATCAAAATGAATGAATAATTCTGAATTTTTTAAAATTTTTATGAGCTCAGATAATGCAGCGTTGAATAAACTTTTTAAATAATTATATATAATATTAGGTAAAAACTCTTTTCATTTTCACAAAACTGTGGCTTTAGTTCAGATAGACGCTTTCGGCCATTTTCAGAATCGGCATTTAGGGCCGATAGACTAAGCTTGAGATCTAACAGTTATGAACAACTGTTGCAGGCTAATAGTAGTTATGAAAATAATATATTAGCAGCAAAAAAGCATTATTTCTTCACGTGACAATAGAACTTTTGAAAGACATGCTTAAGGTATCCGACAAGTTTCGACAACTCTTTTTGAAATTTTGATGTAGAATTTTGTTTCATTACGCGTAAAAACTTCTAAAACTATCGTAAAAAACTATATATATAATTAATATTTTTAAATGGCCATTTTTAGATAAAAATAAGGCATTTTTTGGCATATACGATAAACACTGTAAAAAAAAATTCTCTCTTAAAAGGAAAAATCCTTTGATGATTTTATTAAGAAGGCTATCAACTATGTTTTGAACTATTATCTCGAAGGCACGCGAATATACTACTGAGTTAGGGATCAATGTAATTAAAAAGCAAATTTTTAAAAATTTCCCCACTTGCCTTTGAGAAAATGCATGCTTAAAAAAATAAAATTTTACTTTTTCATCTTAGCCTGTATTTCAAAACATGTGTGTTATAATCATAAACATTCATGAAAAGTTGTAGCTAATTATTTCAAATACAACGTGAGAAATCGTGATTAAGGTAGTGCAAATTGTGAATAAATCTGATTTTAAGATAAATGCATTAAAATCTTAAAATTATAATTCTACCCACTGTTATCGTTTTGCACAAAAACTTATGTAACTTTGTAAAGCATTAGTGTACAAACAAAAGTATTTTTCGAAAGCTAAGAGTACAAGGATTCGAAATTTAGAATAAACTCAATTTCGTAAATTTTGCTCAAAATCATGTTATTGCACTAGTCAGATACCTTAATAAATTTAGTTTTATAGTATAATCTATTAGTTACTACTCTGATACAATATAAACAGATATCTTTATGTCTATGTTTCCATATGTCAAAGTATATAAACTTACAAAGAATTTTAAAATTTTATTTTACACCTTGTTCCTAAAACTGAATTTCAAAAAATTAGTTTTCAAGAAAGCACGCTACTTTTATTATTTACTTTGCTGATTTCATTATTTTAGCTAAAATGCTTAATATATCTAGTACTATTGTATACTTATATCACCTGGCTAAATCCTACAATGTAAATAACTGGAGATTTAAAAGCTCTTACAATAGTTTATCAATAGTGGATAAACATTCATTAAATTATTGAGTTTTAATATAGATTTGTGTCGATTTTTTAAAATTGAATTTCAATAATTATATGTGTCATACATTATAACAATTTAATCATTTATAATTGACAATTAATATCACTACTTTTAATATTCTAATTAAATTACGCACTCTTATACATATTGTGTACTTAATACATATTGTGCAGTAATTACTGTTTCCCCTGATATTCTGATAAGACATAAATAATAAACTTTAATTTATTTTTAAAATAATTTCAAATGAAGATAACTCTTATTCTTTAATTTATGAACTTTTTATGTATTTCAACTGACCTGTGAGACTAAGATTCCTACTATAAGATTCAAAGATTTCCATTTAATAATCAATCTCTTTAAAGCTGAAAAAAGTAATTTAGAGTTAAGAAAAATGAATGCTCTAAGTTACAAATTGAATTAAGTAATAGATTTTTTTCTGCTTTTCTTTGGAAATATTTTCTTGCGTATTGTCTGATTTTGATCTTAAATTAAATATTTATGTTTCAAAACAATAGTTTGATGAATTTGAATATTGAACATTTGAGCAATCGAATAGTAATTTGATAAATTTGAAAACTTTTTAAATCTGAGAGTGTATGTAATTTTTTTATTTAAATTATCTGAACTTCACAAATATTTAAATTATATTTAGCAAATAATTGCTTATATTCATAATTTAAATTCTCTTGTTTTGTGTACAGATAAATATTCTTTTTTAGCAGCCACAATTGGGACTATAATCATAAAAAAAAACTGTTTAGAAAATATGAGCTTTTCATAATTATTAACTATTAATAGAGTAATTAAATTCTTTTCATAATTTTTTTTAATTAGTCAACTGCATTAATCCATGATTTTAAAAATAAAAGTTGTTAAAAATATTACTTTTATATTTTGTTTGTTAGAAAATGCAATTCTGATTTCAAGTTTAGGAAAATTGTAAATAACTAAAACACTTTGATCCTGTGAAAACGTTTCCTAATCTACTATTTCTCGAGAAGAATTTAAGTTGAAATACTTCTCCTTATTTCGAAAAAATTGAATTAATTTTCTAAGTCTTTCAAAAAATTCTTCTTAATTTGGGTCTGGTGATAAAAGTAATGAAGCAATTTATTTGACAGTTTTAACAGGAAATTTATCAGCATGTTATTATTTATAATTGAGATAATCTGTCTGGATTTTAACTCAATCTTTAAAAATAACAAAAACGTTTATAGCTAAGTTCGTTTCATTTAGTCAGTTCTGCACATTTTTCTACATAAAAAAGAGATAACTCATTAAACTACAAAAGTTGTTCCATCGTTGGAAAATAACTTAATACACTACAAAAAACGAATTTCAGTTCTGATTTCAATTCGTAAGAAATGATTAAGCATAGCCAGAAAACTGTTATCGAACCGTAGCAACGCAGATAGCTCATACGTTTTATTAACAAAAATTGAAAATATACAGAAATATTTAAAAAAAAATTAGTTGCTTCAAATCGATAAATAAAAAACTTGATAGTTGAACGGAATAATAAATGTATGAGCATTCATAATATTGTGTTCCTTTCATTTTGGCAATTATTTCTGTTCTTACTGTAAATAGGAAAAATTATTTAATTGACTGATTTTTAGATTATTGGAAATCGAGATAGAAATAATAGAAAAACGAAAACTTTTATACACAGTAAAAGCTTAAAATTACTGTGTGCAATGCAGGAAGTACCTCGTTCAACATTCTAGACACGAAAAAAAATTCTGGCAAAATGATCGTACTGTTTGGTAATGAAATTTCTAGTTAAAAAAAAAAAGCATAATTCTGGTAACAAAAACCAAGATATACGGTATTTTTCCGTTAATTCCCAAGATATTTTCTCCGTTCATGTGGTAAAGCTTTAAAGGAATTTTCAAAATTACGGTACTTATTACCATACATTTAGAAAAAATACTGAAAAGTAAATTAAGCCGAATAAATTTTTTTAGGCGAATACATTAACAAAGCACTTCGCTGATCATTACCGAAATTTTGGTGTTCCCATAGAGCTAGAAATACGGTAAATTTTACCACATTCCGGTAGTTTTAACCCTTTTTTTTGCAGTGACCCAATGAATGTTTGTAGTCATGTACATGTAGCATGCAGAAATATATTTTCTTAATGAATAAAGAAAACAAAAAAAAATTTTTTTACTCTCGAAACTGGTATATTTTGATTCACAATAATAATCTGGATAATATTAAAAATTTTTTCTATTTACTTGCATTGTTTTAACTGTTAAGTTTTTATATACACATTAAAATGGCTGATAGCATTTATCATATTATCATGCTGCCTTCGAGTTTTTTGAACTGAAGAATTAATTAAAAATTAAAATATTCATAAATATTATTAAACACGCACATTTCTCACAATAAACTGCTTCAGTGGATTTCTTTTACTACTAAGCATAAAATAACTATTGGGAAGCAATTATTATGCATGAGTGGCAGATTTTAAGTTGTTTGCGTAAAAAAGTTAAGCTTTTAACTATTTAACTATATTTTTTATCTATAAGGAAAAACGCTTTTACCATTTATGGCTTTTGTAAACAAAAATCATTTTTATTAAATATGTCATAAATTTATAAATAAATCTCATTAATCTGCAACAAGTTTACTGGATCGGAAAGAATTTGAAACGATATTTTCGGTTTTAATTTTAAATATTTGAATAATTTTTAGATTTATTTTTCATGTGGAATTATAGTTTTTAAACGTAGAACTATTTTTTATTTATTTTTAGATACGTTATAAAAATTAAAAACTACAAAGCTATATGAAATTTTTGAATTTATAATGTTTTCTACACTGAGAAAAAAATGTATCGTCATGACTACCAGAATATGGTAAAATTTAACCAGTTTCTGGCTCTATGGAAACAAGTAAAAGATCAGTTATTTTTACGGACGAGGCTTTCTTAATGAGTTTGGTAAAATTTACGCATTACAAATACAATAAAATATGGTTTTATATTGCGTGATAAAATATGGTAAATGTGGTAAACTTTTTCAATTTTGTAATGCTACCTTAGATAAGGGCATACAAACCATTTATTTGTTCAAATTTACTTTTGTGTTTTGCATTTTTTACTAAATGTGTGGTTATAAGAAGTATAATTGTGAAAACCAGAATTTCCGGTAAATCTTTGCCATAAGAACGGAAAAATAACGAAATAAAAAGTTTAAATCCAGATGTTTTAGTTTTATTAAGCAAAATTATGCTTTTTTTTTCTTTTTTTTAATAAAAAGCAGAAATCTCATTACTATGTAGTACAGCAATTGTAAAATTTTTTTTTTCTGCGTATCGCTTTCGTTTATTTGGCCATTACACGATTTTAAGTATTGGACATGCGAATTATTAAGCTAAAAAGCATTATATTTCTATGTTTCTATTATTATGTTTCTATGTATAATATCTATTAATAAAATCAATAATTTACTATTTCTCTGAAACATTGGCTCCTAAATTTTGCTTAATTAAAAAAAGTATAATTAATTGTGCTTAAAACAAGATCCTCCTGTAATTACTGTTGGTAGCTAATACACTAAATAATATTAATTTAGTTAATAAAAATTTTCGCTATTCAATCTTTTTTATCATAACTGAAACACAGAAACATGTTTTTTCAGTTTACGTGAGTTGTATGCAAATTTTGAATTCTTATAAATAACAATCAACAGCGAAAAAAATGCATTCTCTGAGTAAAATTACAGCATTCTTTGTTGATTGTAATAATAAAATTAATAATTTTTCTATATTTTTTTAAACTGTAAAATAATTTTGTTTTTGTAACTCATAACGTGCGATGTATCTCTTTGCAGCTTGTAATAAAATTTTGTTCGCAACTAAATTAGCAATAATCGTAACATGGTAGCATTTTAATTTACTCAAAGTATGTAAAAAATGCATCTGATAGCAATAACCAACCTGAAATGAAGTAAGAAGTTTTTAAGATGAACTAGCTAAAAGTAAACAAAAGTTGTAATTGAACTTTTGAAACAAGTAAAAGCACTCATTATGTTGTTCCTTTACAAGATTTGATATATTAATATAAATTAAATAAAATTATTTTAAATAATTTGAATTAATTTAATGGCTTAAATGATTTTATTAGATTTTCAGTTGGTTGATTGGTTAAACACTGAACTATAATACCGGTATTTTGAACCATTAAACTTCCTGTGCTTCTAATGATCACTTTTTAACTCTTCATCTGTTTCCTACTGCAATCAAACAAGTCCCACTAATACACTATAAGATATTCCTTAAAAAAATGGGTAAATAACAATTTATTTAATTGTTATTTCCTTATATTCAAACAAAACAGTCAAATTACCATAAATAACGAATCTTATTAATCATACGTACAGGAGCGCACGGAACCTAACGTAAATTTGCAAAATCTCCCTAATATTTTAATTCTTCTTTTATGTTAAAAAATAGATATACTTATTTCATTTTATGTCTTTTTCCTATGATAGAACTTCAAATCCAAAAAGAATCATGAACAAGACAATTATTGGTTTTCTGTTCGTCTGCCTTGCATTCAGCTTAGTTATGGTTGAGGAAACAACAGCGATGCATCTTCACAACAGTGGGAATAACAATGGTGTTATTCAGTTACTCGTTGCTGGTCTCGTTGCCAAACTGCTGCAAGAACAGAACATCGGTTAAGAATCATCTCTGAAATGAGAATGTTTGTGTGTTGTTTCAAAATGTTTTTCAAATGTAGTGTATGTAAATAGTGCATAATGTACATAAACAAAAAAGATGAAAAGTTAGATTAAAAAATCATTTCCATTTTAAGATATTGTTTTCTTTTACGTACGCATTAAAGTTAAATTGTAATTGGTACAAGCTGTGGAAACAAAAACTACATTATTTTTGTAGTTTACTACAATTACATTTACTTTGTCACTACTGTAACTGTAACTACTACAACTGTAACTACTTTTTTTTAAATCTAGTGACTACGAACTACTTTGCAATTTAGTAACTGTTGTTGTTGTTTCTAATGCCACTGCCACACGGACAAGCCTGCTTGGTGAAACCGAGCACATTTAAGGCAGAGTGTGCGTTTCTTGTTTTTCAGTGGCGCCATCTATGGCCAAGAATTCGACTTCTGCCACACCATAAGTCGTACCCGTTTATAGGGCGAACCCATTCATCCATTCATTCATCCACAGATCGTAATTTTGACCTGAATCAGAGAGCGATCGATCTCCAATCCAGTACCCCCAGAGGTTTTGATTTGTTATGGGAACATGGCGGACTTTTTGTGACTCGACAGATTTAACGTGCATCAGTCACTTTACTACACGGGGAGTCTTCGTCGGGCGGGGTTCGAACTCTCGGAAATGGGCCCAGCGCCCTACCGACCAGGCTATCCCCGCACATCTAGTAACTACTTCACTTTAAGGAGACGAACTTGACCGGAGAACTTACACCGATATTCAAAATGGCTTTAAATAAAAAATTGGTTTACATTAAACGCAAGGCAATAATTAAGAATTAATTATTCGTGTTTGCACGAGCCAGTTTGTTATTCCAAAACATATTTTTTTCGAATTTGTTTATTTAACCTTCAGCATTTTATGCCTTTTTCGGCAACGAATATTTCATTTAAGAAAGGCGAAACTAGCAAATACTTGCAATTTTTTAATTGTTTAATGCTCTTTTATTTCCTCTAAGAAATTGAGTACATATAAAATGCGCTCTCTTCGATTGAAATAACATCACTGCTTCATGAGTGCGCATGTGAAAGCGTGATCGAAGTAATTAATTATCAATTTTTCGTAATGGCTCATTTATGTATTAGTTATACGTGATTTTAAATACTAAATTTCTATTAACGCTCAGCTTCAGTCATAGGGTCATTTTCATTGCACCTATTAAAGGACCTGCGAAGACAATTATAAATACGTTTGAATTTTGTTTTATTATGAAACAGTTAATTTACTGATTCAAAGTCATAATGTAACAACTAATTCATTAAATTAAATGCAAATCAAAAGTAAAAGAATTAAATTAATAAATTTTTAAACTTAGGAATAAAAACATTGCCTGATTTTACTTTAAGTGTATAGAAATTCTATTAAAAACAATTTATTTTTAAAGAAAATTACTATTTACTAACGTGTGCTACTTTCGTTTTTCTATTCATTCTATTTGGCATAAAATTTACAATATAATGAAAGCAAAATTTGGCAGAAATTCGACGACACTTTACTACAAATTTGGTTTTGTGAGTTCTTGATAGGGTTAAGTCTTTTGTGGCACCAACCCCCAAATAATTTCAACTGATTTTAAATCCAGGCTTCTTGCTAACTCATTCATAAATTTGACCCTTTAAAAAACTGTTTTGTGTCCCGAAAATAAGGATACTCGTGTTGTCTTGTTAAAATATGAAGAAGAAAAAAATCTACATCCAAATTTTCTGCATAGTTTATTAAAAAAATTTCTAGAAATTCAATGTGCTTGGTGGAATTCATTTTGGTTATTGTAAAAGAGAAGTTGTCTCAAAGCTAGATAAAGATCATCATACAAAAAACTGAACCACCACCGAAATTAAGGCTAAAAGAAAATTCTTGTGCTCTGTGTTGCCAATGAGATTCTATTCCCTCCAGTCCATCAAAGTTGAACTTTTTTTACAACTTAAAACTACATTCTGTCTCTCAGAACTCCTATACTTCTTATGCTTTGCACTTAACAATGGTTTACGTAATTATTTTTGTCCATTTCATAACTCCAGTCAGATTAAATACTTTTTAGGATAGAGCCCTTTTCTGAAAAGGAGGTGATCGGGTTCGAATCCCTGCGATGGCTGGTTGATATGTATTCCGCACCCGCCTCGCACCTACCACAGTGTAATCGTAAGACATCCTCAGTGGTAGACAGATCATGGGTTAAAGTCCCGTTGCTATCGAGCTTACCGTAGGAGGCTTTCGTGGTTTATCTGTCCATGTAGCACAAATGCTGGTTGGTTCCATTAAAAAGTGATGAAAATCACTATGGCAAATTTCTACAAATACTTGATCTAGGAGTACCCTTGTCTTCTAGATTGGGTTGAAAATTACAAGGCTTCCGAGATGAACATTACTAGTCTTAAAACCAACAATTGGGTGGGCTGTTCAACGACGGATATAAAATTAAATTTAAAAAAAGATTATATGAGAGACAGCCGCGTTTGCCCAGAGCTCAGAGGATAGAACATTCATCTTCATATGAGGTGATCCAGGTTGGAATATCATCGGTGGCTAGTTGAAACGAATTCTGCTCCCTGTTTGTCCAGACCACAGTGCTGACATAAAACATCTTCAGTAGAAGATGAATGAGGTTTAGAGTCTCTTTGCAAATCAGGCTAACCGTGGGAAGTTTTCGTAGTTTGCCTCTCCATGTAACGCAAATGATGGTTACTTCCATAAAAAAAACTCCACAAATTAGCTCGAATTAGGTTTTAGTGCCTCGCCTATTATCTGCTGTTTTTGTCATACAGTCAGTTTCTCACCACGATTCGTCTTTATTCCATCCAATTCTCCAAAATTTACGAAGTTTTACACGATAATGACAGAGCGTCCAATCTTCTTTACCTCAAATTCTAATTTTGATTCTTCTTCATCAGTAAGCTTAATTTTGCGCCCCATTCCTGAATTATCTCGTAAACAATAAGCTAACTATGCAAAATTGCTTCGAATTCTTCATGTTTAATTTAACTTTATAAAAAGTGATCAAAAGTTTATAACATAAAGGCATGTTCTTAGCTGTGAGATGAAATTTAAACATACACGTTATAAGAAATAGCACAGTGTCTTATAAGAAAAGAAAATGAAAATAGAAGTTACATTGATCGTAGTTCCTGATCAACATGTGCGATGCTTCAAATCCATTTTTCTTCCGATTTTAATTCATTTCTAAACAATATATTTTAACATTTATGAGAAAATAGCAACATTAAAATAATTTCTCATACATGAATTTTAAATATTTTGCTTTTTAAACAATCGTAAACAATTATTAAATTTCAATGTAATTTTTAAAAAAATGGAACAAAAATAATTCATTAAATAATAATAAAACATTGAAAAAATTAAAAATAGAATTTTCTTTAATTGTATTTCCCTGCCAATATGCGCGATGCTTCTTTCATTTTTCTTCCAATTTTAATCCGATTTAAGACAATATATCTTACTATTTGTAAAAGACAACAGCCTTAAATTTCCTATACATGAATCTTAAATATTTTGATTTTTAAACAATTTTAAACAATTATTAAATTTTAATATAATTTTTAAAAAAAATGGAACAAAAATATAATTCATTAAATAACAATAAAACATTGAAAAAATTAAAAATAGAATTTTCTTTAATTGTATTTCCCTGCCAATATGCGATTATATGCGATTTCCCTGCCAATATGCGATTTAATCCGATTTAAAGTAATATATCTTAATATTTGTAAAAGACAACAGCCTTAAATTTCTCATACATGAATTTTAAATATTTTGTCTTCTAAAATATCGAGAATAATTATTAAATTTATATTAAAATTTAAAAAAGCGGAAAAAAATAATTCATTAATTAATAATAGAAAAACATTGGAAAAAGTAAAAATAGAAGTTTCTTTGATTGTATTTCCCGGTAAATATGTGCGATAGTTCATAGTTATTTTTCTTTTAATTTTAACCCAATTTAACAATAACATTAATATAAAACAATATAAAAACAAGAAATAGTACATTTGTAAAAAAAAAACAACAGCCTTAAGTTTTAACTATTTTAATACGTGAATTTTATCTATTTTGCTTGTTAAACAGTCCAAAAAAAATTATTACATAAATTTAAAAAATACGGAACAAAAAGAATTAAATTTCAGATTTAGACTTTCTTTTGCCTATGACAAAATTGCTGGAAACTAATTGCAGCATGAAAAATTTTGTTTAAAAATAACCAAAAATTGTTAATAATAAAAAATATTTTCAGTGATATATAATATTGTTTTTTGAAAAGAATTAGTTAGATTTTAAATTCAAAATGGTATTAATATCTAGAATAAGAACAAATAAAACACTTTCAACGTTTCACATAAGATTTACTTACTTTTTTGTTCCTATCGAATAGTAGAACTACACAAAAAAGTAAAAATAATACGCCTATTCTAAAAAAGTTTTAAATATGCACTCGGGGACCTTTTAAGCAAAATTAATATGAATCAAGTTTAATTTAACTTGGTTTCGGTTTATTAATTAAAATAACTACGCTTTCTGCACTCACTGATTCTGTGCCTGCTTCGATGATTTTTAAAAAAAATTTAATAAACTGATGTGTACATGGTAAGAATAAGGCCATGGCATTAATATTTATTAGTTATTTCATGCAGTTTCGCCTCATAAAATCCCTCTAACTGTATCGAATTACGCAACACTTTTCTTCTCTCTTCTTTTCTAGTAAAAGAACAAGCCAAACTACACAAAAAAGTTGAGCAAATTATTGGTACTAAGGGACTAAGCCCCCTGTTCGGTGACGCTCACCAACTCCGATGATTGCTTCGCAATAATTGCTGTTTCTTGGCTTGAAATAGTTGAAATTATTCAACTAAAAATGTATGTTCTGAAAATAACTCTTGTAGGACGGGATAGCCTGGTTGGTAGGGCGCTGGGCCCATGCCCGAGAGTTTGTGTATTCAAACCCCGCCGGTCGAAGGTGAATGGTGACTGATGCGCGTTAAATCTGTCGAGTCGTTAAATCTGTAAAGTCCTCCCTGTTCCCATAACAAATCAATACCTCTGTGGATACTGGATTGGAGATTG